GCCGGGAGGGGCGGTTCCTCTTCCCATCCCTCAGGGTTGCAGTCATCCCTGAGTCATCTCGTCTCCTTGGGCTCCTGGGCGGAGCTCCACGGCAGACGCTGGGCTGAGTCCCTGCTGGCCGCCCGGCATTCCAGGCTAGAACCTGGCCCCCACTCAAGGACCCAGGCCAAGTCCCCAGCCCCGGCCTGCGGCTGCCTCCACCTGCACTCAGCCACCCCTCCTCCGTGTCCCCAAACCACCACCCCAGCCCCACGGGGGGTGTTTACTGCCCAGAACCTTCCAGTCAGGGGCCCGGCAGGACGGATAAGCATCTCTCCAGAAGCTTCTGGAATTCCCAGAACCACACAGGGGCCCCTTCGACCTCTGACCATGGGGGTGCCAACTCGGCCCCTCCCTCGGAGGGTTCTGGGATTTGGGGTTCAAAAGCCCCAGCAGAGTTCAGGGACAAGGGCCTCTCCTCTCCCAGTGGGTGCCCTTGAGGCCCCAGAGCACCTGGCGGGGGGAGCAGAGGGAAGGCACCCCCGGGAGGCTCCAGGGGCGATGGCCTCTCTGGACCCCAAGTACCCCCAGGTGAGCAGATCCCGCCCACAGACACACAACGCCCCCACGCCAAATGTGGGTCAAACCACCTCACACAGGACCCCCGCCCGGCCTGGCCCGGGGCGCCCCCAGGCTCACCTGCCGGCTCCTGGCTCCACAGCCTGCAGCCTCAGCTCTGGGGCCTGGATGGGCACAGAGGCCTCCCAGCTCCGCCCTGCCCGCCGGGTTGCCAGGGGACAGAGGCACCACCCAGGGAAGGCAGGTGTGCCCCCTCCCCCCAGCCCCACCTGGGCTCAGGAAACAAAGTCCAGAGAAGGAGGAGGGAGAAAGACGATACCAGTCTGGGCGAGGGCGGGTACCGTGCCCGCTGCCCGCTGCCCTTCCGCCCCCAGGGCCTCCACACGGCCCCGAGGAGCCAGAACTCAGCTGAACCTCCCTCGGCTGCCTGGCCCTCCCGCCGCCTCTCAGCACCGCTCAGAGAGGGTCAGCAGGTGCCCAGGGTCACACAGCAGCTCAGCGGCGACAATGGCCTGTGTCTCCCGGAGGCTCGGAGGGGCTGAGTCCCGATCCCATCCGTGCCTTCCGGCCCAGCCCACCCCTTGGGGCAACTCCCCTAGACGGCCTCCTTCTTGCATAAACCAGGCTCGGCAGACTCTGGAGGCAGACTCTCGGTGTAGTCTGGGTTCTGATCCCACCTGACGTCTCTTGGCCCTGTTTTCTCCTCTGGGACATGGGGGAACATCACGTCCAGGCTCCCTCACGGCTGCTGGGGGGAATTCCCCAGACCCCATCCACATAAAAATAAAAAACTGTACGAGGGGGCTGGGTGCGGTGACTCATGCCTGTAATCCCAGCACTTTGGGAGGCCGAGGTGGGCGGATCACCTGAGGTCAGGAGTTCGAGACCAGCCTGGCCAACATGGTGAAACCCCGTCTCTACTAAAAATACAAAAATTAGCCAGGCGTGGTGGCGGGCACCTATAGTCCCAGCTACTCAGGAGGCTGAGGCAGGAGAATCGCTTGAACCCAGGAGGTGGAGGTTGCAGTGAGCCTAGATCACGCCACTGCACTCCAGGCTGAGCAACAAGAGTGAAACTCCAACTCAAAAGAAAAAAAAAAAAAAGAACCGCACGAGGCCATCAAAAGACGCAGGCCCCCCTGAGAGATGGGGACGTGGAGCTCTCAAGGCGCCCGTGGTCCTCCTGGATTCTTGATCAAGGCGCAGAGGCCTTGCGGGGACTGTGGGGAGCCCAGCATCTGTGGGGAAGTCAGGCCACTGGGCCTAGCGCCGTCTATGAGGGCGGCGAACACGGCCGAGCGGGCGGGGGACCCAGTTCCCCAGCCTGGGGCTCTGTCCTGACCTACCCGCTGGCTGCTTGTGGAGCCGCTCTGAACCTCGGTCTCTTCTTCCAGTAAAAAGGCCCCAGCTCTGAATCCAGCAGGGCTGCTGGATAGGGACGCTTTGTTTTTTTTTTTTTTTTGAGATGGACTCTCGCTCTTGTCGCCCAGGCTGGAATGCAGTGGCCCGATCTCAGCTCACTGCAACCTCCCCTGTTCAAGCGATTCTCCTGCCTCAGCCTCAGGAGATTACAGGCACCCGCCCCCACGTGCAGCTAATTTTGTATTTTTAGTAGAGACGGGGTTTTGCCATGTTGGCCAGGCTGGTCTCGAACTCCTGGCCTCAGGTGATCCGCCCGCCTCGGCAGCCCAAAGTGCTGGGATTACCAGTGTGAGCCACTGTGCCCGGCCAGGATGGGGGTGTTTAAGGACAGATCTGGATAAAGGACCCACCCCAAAGGACAGCATGTCACCTAATGCTGCTGGGTGTGTGAAAGCCCAGGGTGTGCGGCCTCCCACCGCTGCCCCCCACCACCGCCTCCCACGACCCCTTCATGTCCTTTCCTCCCTGGCTTGTAGATGGGGAAACTGAGGCACAGAATGCGTAAAATCGCGCCCCAGGAATGGCCCGGGGTTAGGCTGCAATTGGAACCTGAGTTCCCTCATTGATGCCCTCCACCATACTCACCACCTCACTGGGGAAAACTGAGGCCTCAACAGGGTGGAGGCTGGCAGAGGCTGGATCCCCCATGAGCTGGGGGCACTGTGGAGACGTCCCACACCCAGGCTGAGGCTGGCCTCCCACTCAGGGCTCCGAAGGCCTATTTTATTTTATTTGAGACAGAGTCTCGCTCTGCCGCCCAGGCTGGAGTGCAGTGGCCGGATCGCAGCTCACTGCAGCCTCCACCTCCCGGGTTCACGCCATTCTCCTGCCTCAGCCTCCCGAGTAGCTGGGACTACAGGCGCCCGCCACCGCGCCCGGCTAGTTTTTTGTATTCTTGGTAGAGATGGGGTTTCAATATGTGGCCAGGCTGGTCTCGATCTCTTGACCTTGTGATCCGCCCACCACGGCCTCCCAAAGTACTAGGATTGCAGGTGTGAGCCACCGTGCCCGGCCATGAAGGCTTATTTTACAGATGGAAAAATTGAGGCCCAGAGGAGGAGGCAGGGACTTCTCCAAGACCTCAGTGGGAGACAGAGCGGGGCTGGGGTGGGGGACACCTTCCCCTGAGTACGACGCTGGTCTCCACAGACACCTCCTCCCCAGGCCTCCCGTGTATTTCCCAGGGGCCGGCTTCTCTGCAGAGCTTGTAGGTGTCCAGGGGACCCTCTGTCATCACCCAGGGGCTGTGAGCCCAGTAAAGGGAGGAACCAAAGGACAGGATGGGGCGGCCGCAGAACCCAAGGGCTCCCCAGGAAGCCAGGCCTGCCCCCCACATCAGCCCCTTACCGCCAGGCCTTACCTGCACAGTGGGGATTCCAACTCCTCCCACCACCACCCCTCGGCGCCCAGGGGGAGCCCAGCAGATGAGCAGGTGCAGGCAGGTGAAGCCAGCTCACCGGAACCCTGTTCAGCCTCCCCTTTATGGCTCAAAGGCCGGCAGGCCCCACCCCCTGGCCTGGTCACGCCTTCCTCGCCGGGTTGAAAGCCAAGAACTCTAGGAACTGGGGCTGTTCACGCTGTTTATTTGCTTCTCTGGGAAAATCAAGAACATCGGGGACCTCGTCACACACCAAAAGCAGAGGGGGCAGCAAGGGCACTTCAGCGAAGGCTCGCGGCTCGAGGGACTCGGGCAGACTCGAGGGAGGAGGAGGGGGTCCCACGGCTGACGCCCAGGTCACCCCCGAGAGGGCCTCTCCTCCCAGCCACCCAGGAGCAGAGCGGAGGCAGGGACCCAGGCTCCCATCCGAGGTGGCCCCTGTACCTGGAGGTGGCCTGAGCACTGGGCACCAGGCTGGAGGCCCCTTGGGGAGGGACCAAGTTGGGGCCTGGTTGTCCAAAGCCAACGCGTGAGAAGGTGTCTGTGAGAATGTGCACGAATGTGCCTCTGGGGACAAGTGTAGCTGCCCCCAGGAGCGAAGCCCCTTGCCACTTCCAGTAAGAGGGGGCTGGGGGCAGGCTCACATTGGTCTGGGTGGCAAATGAGGGTCCCCTGCTCCAACCAAGAGGCTTCCTGTTCCAGGCTGTGTCCCTCTCTCCACTGCCCAGACATGCTCCAAGCCCAGCAGAGCTGGCAGGTGGGGCCTGATCTCTGGGGTGTGGTTGGGAAGACCCAGGACCCTCGTCCAGGCAGGTTGGAGAAGAGGCCGGGGGCGGCCCCTGGGGTCCCCAAATTAGCACCAGGAGGAAGGAGGGCCCAGTGGGGGCGGGAGCTCGGGACAAGGAGTGGCTCACTCGGTCCCTGCCCCGTGCAGGGGACAGGTCGATGACCCCTGGTTCGCCCCCTCTAGAAGACAGCCCAGGGTTTGCCGGCCCCTCCCGGGTGGGGGCATGTCCCCGGGTTCCCCCTCCCCCAGACTCCGCTGTCCACTGGTTGGGCCCATACAGGGCATGGGGGGCACAGCGGAGGGGCCTGTCCTCCACCCAACACTTTGAGCCCCAAAGAGGCACGGCCTCACCCCAACTGCCTGAGATTGGGGGGCCAGCGCCTTGGCTAGGGAACCCCGTGGAGCCCCACATCCCGCCCCCGGCTCCCGGGGCCCTCTCTGGTAGGGTGTCCCCTCAGAGAAAGGCACAGGCGGGAGGCCCAGAGGGTGGCAGGCTGGCCTGGGCCACGTGGAGGCCGCGGGTCCCACCCGCCAGGACCCCGGTGGGCGCGAGCCGCGTCTGTGAAGCTGCCGTGACATGGGAGGGTCCTCGTCTCGGGAAAAGCGGGTCTGTCCTGTCTCTCTCCTACCAGGCACGAGTGCACGGCTCTGGTTTCGGGGGGAGCGTTGGGGCGTGGTGACGGGTGGGGGGCCCCCGTCCCTCTTTCCAGTGAAAGAAAACTCAGAAGGAACATGTAACAACACGCCAAGTCCTGGACCCGTGAGGCCGTGGGTGGAGGGTGGGCAGGCGCCGGGAGGGGCCGGGCTGGTGGGTGTCTGTGGTGTGGGGTGGGGGCCGGGGTCTCAGGGGCCGGCTCACATGATCAAGCAGCATTTGCAACGCTGCTTCTTCATGTCGAGGTCCTGGGGGTCGCTGGTGGTGGCCTCGGGCCCGGCCTGATTCTCTTCCCTGGAGCCAGCCTCTGCGGGAGGTTCGGCGGCACTGCCGTTGGGCGGCGCGGGCTCCTTGGGCTCGGCCGCGTCTTCGATGACCACCAGCTCTGCCGTGATGGTGTCTTGAAGGCCCAGCACCTTCTTGGTCTCGGCCTCATCCTCTACGTTCTGGTAACCCATGAAGATCATTGTGACCGGGGGCTCCTGGCCGGGCTGGATCCCCGGTGGGCCGGACGTGGCCTCGCCTGGCTGTGCCTGCACGCCGGTGATCTCTCGTCTGGAGGGCGTGGTCCGGGCTGCCTCTTCCCCAGCGCCCCGGGTCTCTGCCGCCCCGGCCGTGGACCCTGCCTCGCTCAGTGTGACCTCGTCTGCTTTGTGGATGAGTTCGTCCACCTCAGAGGAGCTCAGGGGGTGGATCCCGTTCTCGGCCGTGCCGTCCACAGCATGGACCACTGTACAAGGAGACACAGAGAGAGTGACCTGGCTCGAGGCAGGAGGGACAGAGAGAGTGACCTGGCTCGAGGCAGGAGGGAAACCTGGGCAAGGCTCGTATCCTCCTCGAGGCTAAACAGGAAATCACAAACTAGATTACACCTTCAGAACTGACAATTAAAACTCCTGTTGGCATCTGCAGATGCAGCCAAAGCAGTACAATGAGGAAAAAAAAATTTTTTTTTTGAGATGGAGTCTCTGTCGCCAGGCTGGAGTGCAGTGGTGCAATCTCGGCTCACTGCAAGCTCCACCTCCCGGGTTCAAGTGATTCTCCTACCTCAGCCTCCCAAGTAGCTGGGACTACAGGCGCCCGCCACCATGCCCGGCTAATTTTGTATTTTTAGTAGAGACAGGGTGTCTCCATGTTGGCCAGGCTGTTCTCGAACTCCCGACCTTAGGTGATCCACCCGTCTCGGCCTCCCAAAGTGCTGGGATTATAGGTGTGAGCCACTGCACCCAGTCGATGATAAGGAAAATTTATAGGCACAAAAGTATTTATTAGGAACCAAGAAAGAGTGGAAAGGAATGAATTAGGATTTTTTTTAATTTTCTGAGATGGAGTTGCCCAGGCTGGAGTGCGGTGGTACAATCTCAGCTCACCACAACCTCTGCCTCCCTAGTTCAAGCAATTCTCCTGCCTCAGCCTCCTGAGTAGCTGGGATTACAGGCGTGAGCCAACATGCTTGGCTCATTTTTTGTATTTTTAGTAGAGACAGGCTGGTCTCAAACTCCTGACCTCAAGTGATCCGCCCACCTCCCCCTCCCAAAATGCTGGGATGACAGGCGTCAGCCACCGTGCCCGGGCTGTAATTCCATATCCTTTAGCCAGCTAGCTCCCATGTGATCACCCTGAAAAGTAAAGATTCTTTTCCATCGTAAAGATAGCAAAAATCAAAGTTCAAAGAAGGGGCACGACTGGGCCAAGGTCACAGAGCTAAACCCCTGTTCCTTCCCCGCGTCGAGGCCTGTTTCTCTTATACAAGACAGGATCACCCACCCTGGGGAACTGGAGGTTACACGTTACAGGGATTCTTTTTCTTTGTTTTCTTTTTTCTTTATTTGAGACGAGTCTTGTTCTGTCGCCCAGGCTGGAGTGCAGCGGCGCAATCTCGGCTCACTGCAACCTCCACCTCCCTAGTTCACGCAATTCTCCTGCCTCAGCCTCCTGAGTAGCTGGGATTACAGGCGCCCGCCACCACATCCGGCTAATTTTGTGTGTATTATTTTTAGTAGAGACGGGGTTTCACTATGTTGGCCAGACTGGTCTCAAACTCCTGATCTTGTGATCCACCCGCCTCGGCCTCCCAAAGTGCTGGGATTACAGGCATGAGCCACTGCACCCAGTGTTTTTTTTTTTTTTGAGACAGGGTTTTGCTCTTGCTAACCAGGCTGGAGTGCAGTGGTGCGATCTCAGTTCACTGCAACCTCCACCTCCCAGGTTCAAGCAATCCTCCTGCCTCAGTCTCTAGGGTAGCTGGGATTACAGGTACCTGCCACTACACCCAGCTGATCCTTGTCTGTTTAGTAGAGATGGGGTTTCACCACGTTGGCCAGGCTGGTCTCGAACTCCAGACCTCAGGTGATCTGCCTGCCTTGGCTTCCCAAGGTGCTGGGATTACAGCTGTGAGCCACCATGCCCGGCCTTTACAGGGATTCTGATTTTTTCCATCTATGGGTGTATTTGATTGACCTTAAATTAACATTTTCATTCATTTTAACTCGAGTTAAAGTTTCATTCATTTCTTTTTTGTATTCTAGGAACTGCCTTAAAGGCTACGCATTTTCCTCTGAGTTCTGCTTTGGCTGTATCCTACGAGCTAGATGTTACTCACTTTCAAGTGTAAATAGTTTTTAATTCCCAGTTTGATTGATTGCCATGGGAAGCCACAATTTACTTAGGAGGGTGTTTTTAAATTTCAGGGAGTAGAGGAAGACAGAGCAGAAGATAGAAACTCTGTAACAGTCCTAAAACCTCCTTGGCAGCCTGGGTCATGGTGGTCACTTTCTGACAGTGTTCCGTGTTTGAAAAGAACGTGTATTCTCCACTGGTAGCATTTTATATATATAATCACTCTTGCTAAATGTGCTTGCCAAGTCTTTCCAAATTTCCTTATCTGTGTCTGACTTGACACTTTTTGAGCTCTGTTGGACTCTCCAAGGGCCAGAGTTCAGCACCCCACGACTCCCTGCTATGATCTGATGCCAACCCTAGCTCAGAGCCCTGCAAATTCCTTCTAGAATCATGTCTGCCTGGGCCATGCTGGGAGTTGGAAGGGACGCAATGGGGGGCCCCAGGGACTCGCCTCCTCCCGGCCAAGGGTCAGGGCTCCCGTTCCTGGCTACAGGTCAGAAAGAAAGTGTTCTCCACTTTCAGTTTTGAAGTCCCCAGGGAGGGGAGTCCATGCTTCAAGGCCTCTCAGTGACTTTGGGCTGGAGGCCCGGAGGGTGGGGTGTGTCTGGATCAGGCGAAACTGGATTCAGTGTCTCCCACTGGCCGCTGTCCCAAGACAGGAATCGGAGCCCTCGGCTGCCATGGAAACAGATCACCTGCCCGTGGCTAAGCAACCAGTGTCCAGCCTGGCAGGTCTGGAATCCCCACGGGCCAGGCTGAGGAGGGTGGAGTGACCGGGAGTGAGGACCTCGTCTGGAAGATGAGGCATGGGGACTTCCCAAGGCCACACAGCTGGGGAGGGCTGGAGCTGAGATGCCGCCAGGGCCACACCCCAAGGCCACCCCAGAGCTGGGCTGTGCGGGCCCCTCTGACAGCATCTGGGGCACTGCAGAGGCCAAGGTGCCTGAGAACAGAAGGCTTTGGGAATGCAAACCACAGGGAGGCCCCCGTTCACGCCACCAGGACACCACGAGAATGGGCTACAGGTGTTGGCGAGGACGTGGGGAAACTGGACCCTTGTCTGTGACCTATGGGAACGGGACGGTGCAGCCGCCGTGGCAAATGGCAGGTCCTCACTGAGCTCAACACAGTCACCTCAGGACCCAGACGTTCGCTCCCAGGTGTACACCCAAAGGCCTCGGAAGCAGGGGCGGAAACAAATACTTGCACGCAGATTTCCCAGCATGCTACTCACAGTAGCCAAAGGGTAGCAACAGCCCGAATGTCTACAGATGGAAGAAGGTCCACCCAACCCGTGGAATAGTATTCAGCCATGAAAAGGAGCCAGCTCCAACCCAGACCACAGTGCCGATGCACCTTGGGGATGTCACGCCAGACACAGAAGGCCACGTGCAGTGTGTGACCCCATTTCTTTTCTTTTTTTTTTTTTTGAGACACAGTTTCACTCGTCGCCCAGGCTGGAGCGCAGTGGCACGATCACGGCTCACTGCAACCTCCGCCTCCCGGGTTCAAGTGATTCTCCTGCTTCAGCCTCCCAAGTATCTGGGATTACAGGCGTGTGCCCCCACATCCAGCTACTTTTTGTATTTTTAGCAGAGACGGGGTTTCTCCATGTTGGCCAGGCTGGTCTTGAATTCCTGACCTCAGTTGATCCACCCACCTCGGCCTCCCAAAGTGCTGGGATTACAGACGTGAGCCACCGTACCCGGCCGTGTGATCCCATTTCTATGAAATGTCGAGGACAGGCCAATCCAGAGAGACAGGAGGGGATGTGTGGGCGCCAGTGCTGGGGAGGGGACGGGGGGTGACAGCTGATGGGGACGCGGCTTCTGTCCTGTTTTTTTTGGGACAAGGTCTTGGTGTGTTGCCCAGGCTGAGTGCAGGGGTGCCATCTCAGCTCATTGCAGTGTCCCGGGCCCAGGTGAGTCTCCCAAAAAGGTGGAATTTTATGGTCTGCGAATTATATCTCACAAAGAAAAAGAGGCCGGGTGTGGTGACTCATGCCTGTGGTCTCAGCATTTTGGGAGGCTGAGGCAGGAGGATCACTTGAGCCCAGGAGCTGGAGGCTGCAGGGAGCCGCGATGGCGCTGTAGCACTGCGGCCCGGGCGACAGAGTGAAACTCTTCCTCCAGAAAATAAATCAATAAAAAGAAAAGAGAGAGAATGAGACTGGGGTTTTGTGTGGAGCTTCCCTCCTCCTCCCGGGATCCCTGGCATCTCCCACAGCGTGTCTGCCTCTTGACCGGGAAGAGCCCTTAAAACCACATCAGACCTCAGCACCGTCGGGACCCAACCCACCCAAGGCTTCCCAAAGCCCTCAGGACACGGCCCTGCCTGTCCCTGTCCCCCTGCCTCCAGGCAAAGTACCCTTCTCCTGCATGAGACCAGTTCCTCAACTCCCCGATCAACCTGGTTCCCCTCACCCCTGCAGCCCGGCTCCCCTCACCCCTGCAGCCCGGCTCCCCTCACCCCTGCAGCCCAGCACCCCTCACCCCTGCAGCTCAGTTCCCCTCACCCCTGCAGCCCAGTTCTCCTCACCCCTGCAGCCCATCACCCCTCACTCCTGTAGCCCGTCTCCCCTCACCCCTGCAGCTCAGTTCCCCTCACCCCTGCAGCCCATCTCCCTTTCCTCTTGCAACCCGTCTCCCTTCACCCCCGCAGACTGACTCCTCTCACCCCTGCAGCCTGTCTCCTCTCACCCCTGCACACTGGTTCCTCTCACCCCAGGAGCCCGGCTCCCCTCACCCCTCCAGTCCAGCAAACTCCATCCTACTTCAGGGCCTTTGCAGGGGCTGCGGCTCTGCCAGGTTTGGTTCCCATGCACTGAGTGCCTCTGATGAGCGCCTGCTTGCCTCCTCTGGGAAGCCTCCCCACACCCCATCCTCGTCCTGTGAGACCCTCTCACAGCCCCCTGGATGTGCATTTTCTGTAGCTTTTATCACACTAGCAATTCTTTTTTTCTTTTTCTTTTTATATTGTTAAGAGACAGGGTCTCACTCTGTTGCCCAGGCTGGAGTGCAGTGTTGTGATCATGGCTCACTACAGCCTCAACCTCCTGGGCCCAAGGGATCCTCCCATCTCAGCCTCCCAAGTAGCTGGGACCACAGGCACGCACCACCATGCCAGGGTAATTTTTTTTTTTTTTTTTTTTGGTAGAGACGGGGCCTTGCTATGCTGCCCAGGCTGGTCTCAAACTTCTGGGCTCAAGCAATCCTCCTGCCTCAGCCTCCCAAAGTGCTGGGACTAAAGGCGTGAACCCCTGTGCTAGCAGTAATTTAAATGAATTCTTTTGAGCTCCAAATGGAAGGGCCTGGGTTGCCACCCGGCGAGGACAGAAGCTGAATCTACCTCCAGATTTCCCTCCAGAGCCCGGCTGGGTACCTGGCACCCGGCTCAGCTTTCAGGAGTGGACGAATGATTGGGCAGTGGGCGTGGGGCTGAACGACCTCCGAGCCCAGCCGTGGGCCGCAGGGGGGTGAGGCCCTGGCCTGAAAGCGTCATCTGCTTCAGGTCCCAACTCTGGGGCGACGCTGGGCCCATGTGCCAGGAGCACACTCGTTCAGGGTTCCGGCCCGGGCGGAGGGAGGGCAGGGGCCGGGGTGCTCATACCTTTGGTTTCGTCCTCGTAGACTTTGATGCCCTGAGGGAGCGGCTGCCGAGGGAGCAGCGTGGTGCTGGACAGCACCCTGGTCTCCCCTGTCACCTTGTCCTTCTCCACAGTGATCTCAACCGAGTACATGGCTGGCACGAGAGTCACGGGGTTACGCCACAGCCCGCCCGCCCCCGCGCCCCCCGCCGGGCTGCGGCCAAGCCAGGGAGGGGGAGCCAGCAGCACAGAGCCAAGCAGCGATGGGGCAGGAGGAGCTGGGGATGCCAGGGCACCTTCTCAACGCGGCCCTCCCCAGTTCTACATCCCTCCATAGCTCCCCAGTACCCGGGGCGACCGGTCTGAACACCTCTGCTTGGCGTTCGAGGCCCCATCCTGCTGTCCACCCAGATGGTCCTCATCCCTGTCCTCTGCAGTGTCCTCTGTTTGGCCACCAAACTCTTTTTCAAGCTCAGGTTCCAGCCCAGCCCATCTGGAAAGGCTTCACTGTTCCCAGATCGTTTTAATTTTTTTGAGATGGAGCCTCACTCTGTCGCCCAGGCTGGAGCGCGGTGGTGTGATCTGGGTTCACCTCCCGGGTTAAAGCGATTCTCCTGCCTCAGCCTCCTGAGTAGCTGGGATTACAGGTGTGCACCACCACGCCTGGCTAATTTTTGTATTTTTAGTAGAGACCGGGTTTCTCTATGTTGGTCAGGCTGGTCTCAAACTCCTGACCTCAGGTGATCCGCCTGCCTTGGCCTCCCAAGTGCTGGGATTACAGGCGTGGGCCACCACGCCTGGCCTATTATTTAAATCAATAGAGGGTCTCCCTCTGTAGGCCAGGCTGGAGTGCGGTGCCACGATCACAGCTCACTGCAGTCAGGACCTTCCTGGCTCAAGTCATTCTCCCACCTCAGCCTCCTGGGTAGCTGGGACCACAGGTGTGTGCCACCACGCCCGCTAATTTATCTTTTCTGGAAATGGGGGTCTCACTATATTGCCCAGGCTGGTCTCAAACTCCTGGGCTCAAGCAATCCTCCCACCTCGGCCTCCCAAAGCGCTGGGATTATAGACGTGAGCCCTCAAGCCCCGCCATTCCTGGTTTCTCAGAGGGGCAGGTGAGTCTCAGGGAGACCCTGCCTTGCCTGGGGTCATGGCCAAGATTGGGGCTCAGTCTGCAGACTCACAGTCCCCAGCCCGACCTCTGCCCCGCCCCAACCACCCAAACTCCCAGGACTCAACGTCTCCTTCCAGCTGACCACCTTTTTTTTTTTTTTTTTTTTTTTGAGACGGAGTCTCACTCTGTCGCCCAGGCTGGAGTGCAGTGGCCGGATCTCAGCTCACTGCAAGCTCCGCCTCCCGGGTTCACGCCACTCTCCTGCCTCAGCCTCCCAAGTAGCTGGGACTACAGGCGCCCACCACCTCGCCCGGCTAGTTTTTTGTATTTTTTAGTAGAGACGGGGTTTCACCGTGTTAGCCAGGATGGTCTCGATCTCCTGACCTCGTGATCCGCCCGCCTCGGCCTCCCAAAGTGCTGGGATTACAGGCTTGAGCCACTGCGCCCGGCTGCCTCCTTCTAGCTGACTCTTGGATGTGCCATCATCTATTCAGACTCAGAGAATGAAGGAGACCCTCGAGAGATAGCTGAACATTGCTACTCATCAGGGCCCTAACTCCACACTCAGCTCCCCGTCCCCTGCTCTGTAAAAGTGATTCCCACAGAAGCCACACAGAGCCTGCATCCTAACAGCGACTGGTGGCTGCCCGCCACCCCAGGCCTGCTCGACGATGCTGAGCACCGGGGGTCATCAAGCACCTCCCAGAGATCCTGCCCTGCAGTGGGAGCTGAACAGGGCTGCCAGGACAACTGGCCTGACCCGTGACACTGCACCCCAGGTGTGGCCCGGCCTCAGGGCCTCTGCACGGGCTGTTCCCAATGCCTGGCACACCCTTCCCCCAGATAGCTGCGTGACCTGCTCCCTCGCCACTTCTGAGGGCCCGTCGGTCCCCACTGTGGGCAGCCCTGCCATCGCCCAGCCCCTCGGCCCCCACAGCCACCTCGTTTCCCTCCTCCCACCCCACCTCGACGCTCAGGCCCAGCTGCGGCCCTGGACTCTGCTCCGGGGACCTCGTCCAGGCACCAGGCTCCAATCTCCTGCACGTCCATCCCCACCAGGACCTCGGCCTGGATTCAGCCTCTATCCACAGAAGCCCCACGCTCACATTCCATAACACCACTCCCCCTCTGCCCCTACGCCTGCCCCTACGCCTGCCCCGACCCTGGCTCTTCCCACCCGCTGGGGGCAGCTCAGTCCTCCCTGACTTTTTTTTTTTGAGACAAAGTTTTGCTCTTGTTGCCCAGGCTGGAGTGCAGGGGTCTGATCTCGGCTTGCTGCAACCTCTGCCTCCTGGGTTCAACCGATTCTCCTGTCTACGGCTCCCAAGCAACTGGGATTACAGGCGCCCGCCACCGTGCCCAGCTAATTTTTTGTATTTCTAGTAGAGAAGGGGTTTCACTGTGTTAGCCAGGATGGTCTCGATCTCCTGACCTCATGATCCGTCCGCCTCGGCCTCCCAAAGTGCTGGGATGACAGGCATGAGCCACTGCACCCGGCCAGTCCTCCCTGCCTCTTATCCCCACGCCCCGTTTGTTTCTCCTCAAACCCTGGGGGCTCCACCTTCAGAACACAGGGAACCGCCCACTGCTCGCCCCTCCACGGCCCATCCCAGCCTCCTTCCCCAGCAGCCCTGTCCCTCCGCCTGGCACTGTCCACGGTCTGTTCTCCCTGCAGTCACCAGAGGGCGTGAGTGACCACGGAGTCGGGGCGGTCCTGGCTTTGCCTACAGCCCCCCATGGTTCCCGCCTCTCTCCGGGAAAAAGCCCAGGTCCTCTCCCATCCCACCACAAGACCCTGAACAACCTCTCCATCATCTCCCCTCCGCCCTCTCCCCCTCCTCACGCTGCTCCAGCCACACCGGCCTCCTGGCTGTTCCTCTAACACCCCAGGCGCTGTCCTGCCCCGGGGCCTTTGTACTGGCCGTGCCCTCTGCCTGGAACATCTTCCTCCAGATAGCTGCCTGCCTTGCTCCCCCGGCACCTTCGGGTCTTTACTCAGACGTCACCTCTTTTTTTTTTTTTTTTTTTTTTTGAGACGGAGTCTCGCTCTGTCGCCCGGGCAGGAGTGCAGTGGCCGGATCTCAGCTCACTGCAAGCTCCGCCTCTCGGGTTCACGCCATTCTCCCGCCTCAGCCTCCCAAGTAGCTGGGACTACAGGCGCCTGCCATCTCGCCCGGCTAGTTTTTTTGTATTTTTTTAGTAGAGACAGGGTTTCACCGGGTTAGCCAGGATGGTCTCGATCTCCTGACCTCGTGATCCGCCCGTCTCGGCCTCCCAAAGTGCTGGGATTACAGGCTTGAGCCACCGCGCCCGGCCCAGACGTCACCTCTTAAATGTTGTACGCTCCCCTCCCAAGCCCTGTGGTTCAAATCCTCCTTCCTCCAGCTCAACGTCCTTGGCCTCACTTTTCTACTGTAGCAGAGGCTGTGGCCCTCATTAGAACACCTGCTCCCCTAATGCCTGGCACACAGCAGGCGCTTGATAAGCATGTCCAGTGAAGGGACGACTGTTTTTCAACCCTATATCCCTGCACAGCCTCAGCCCTCCACCCCAGACAGCTAGTCCAGAGCTGCCCACACTGTTGAGCAGGTTGCGCACTGCACAAAGTCAGTGGCCGTGGGGACCAGTGGGGGACCTGGTCCTCGGTGTCTGCCAGGGCTGGTCTCACTGGCACAGAGGCCTACAGGCACCACCTGCTCTGACACATTAATGCCTCTGTCTGCTGCATCCTGGGGCAACCCCCACCCTGGACCGTGCTGGAGACCTGGGCCTCTGGGTGGCTCTCCTTCCTTCCAGCCCTGTCCTGTCCTGGTCAGCCACCCCAGAGTCCTTTTTCACCTCCCTGCCTTGCTGCTTTTTCTAAGACAGGGTCTTGCTCCTGTCGCCCAGGCTGGAGCGCAGTGAGACGATCTCAGCTCACTACAAACTCTGCCTCCTGGGTTCAAGCATTTCCCCTGCCTCAGCCTCCCGAGTAGCTGGGATTACAGGCGTGCACCACCACGCCCGGCTAATTTTTGTATTTTAGCAGAGACCGGGTATCATGTTGGCCAGGCTGGTTTTGAACTCCTGACTTCAGGCAATCCACCCACCCCGGCCTCCTAAAGTGCTGGGGTTACAGGTGTGAGCCACCACGCCGGGCCCTCTGTCTTGCTCCTATGCTGTTCCAGCTCACTCACACCGCAGCGGTTTTGCTGACTGCAATGATTTTCCATTACTGGGCTCCTGTCCTGTGCCAGGCCCCAGAATGGCGTACCGAGGTTCCACCCCTCTGGCAGGTGGAGAAATTCAAGACACCGGCACCACGTGGCATACCAGGGGTTCGAGCCTGACTTGAGCACCGTGTGGCACTCGGCGTCAACCCCGAGCTTCCCCTGCTTCTTCGAAGCACAGCAGTGCTGGGGACCTGGCTTGGTTGCCTCCAGGGACGGGGCGCTCACTCTCCCGGGGCAGCCGGTCCTACTGCCCAAGGACCGGAGCAGGTAAGATTTGCAGCGAGCGTGTTCAGGCGTGTTCAGGCGTGAGCACCACCCCCCGTGGGCCCCAGGAGGGAGCCGTGAGGTTAGGGTGGAATGAAAGCCGTGGGGTTGCGTCGGTTAGAGCCGCCATGCGTGGGGCCCGTCTTCTCAGGGAAGCATGGGCCGGCGTGGGACGAGGACACAAAGCACAGGGGGCCCCACCCCAGGCTCAGAGCCTCGGCCGTGGTCCAGCCGCCACCCCTACAACCACAGCCCCGCCAGACGCTCCGGAGAGCAGGTCGGTGTCGCCCCCCACCCCACCCGGCCCTCCAGGACCGAGACTTGACCCGATGGCGGCTGGATCTGGGGCCCAGAGCCTGGGGTACCAACCCACCTGCCTTCATCATGGGGGAGCCGTCAACCGTCCTCACGGGCGTGTTGGAGACTCGCTTGTCTGCACAGGAGGGGAGGTGGAGAGAGAGACGCGGGTTAGAGGAGAGGCCACGCGGACCCCCCAGACAGCCCAACACCCCCTCACACAAGTGCATCCGGACCCCCACATGCACCGGGGCCCCTGACCCCACCCAGACCCCACACAGACACAGGCACCTGGGCCCCCTAGATCCCCAGACCCCACACAGACACAGGAATCTGGGCCCCCTAGATCCCCAGACCCCACACAGATACAGGTACCTGGGCCCCCTAGACCCTCGGACCCCACACAGACCCAGGCACCTGGGCCCCCCGACACCCAGACCCCGCACAGACACAGGCACCCGGACCCCTCCAGACCCCTAGAAAATCCCACAGCCACCCCCACAGTTCAATCCTCATCCTCAGTCCAGTGATTTTCACAAAATCTCTGAGAGGCCTGCCTAGATTTTTTTAGTGATTAATTTTTAATTCTACAGTAAGACAAGGAGACACTAGCTTATGAATAATTAACACACAAACCAGGCCAGAGGCACTTCAGACGCCAGCGTCAACCCTGGCTGCTGGCTGTCCAGCTATTGATATGGAAGCGGACACCTTCCGTGAAATGCATTTTACAGACAGGGTCTCGCTCTGTCGCCCAGGCTGGGGTGCAGTGGTGCGATCATAGCTGACCGCCGTCTCAACCTCCTGGGCTCAAGCGATCCTCCCACCTCAGCCTCCCCAGCAGCTGGGACTACAGGCGCGCAACACACCCGGCTAATTTTTTTGTATTTTTAGTAGAGATGGGGTTTCACTATGTTGGCCAGGCTGGTCTTGAACTCCTGACCTCAAGGGATCCACCTGTCTCAGCCATCCAGAGGGCTGGGGTCACAGGCCTGAGCCACTGGGCCCGGCTGGCAGCTAATTTTTTTATGTTTGGCAGAGACAGGGTCTCTCTGTGTTGCCCAGGCTGTTCTTGAACTCCTGGGTTCAAGCGATCCTCCTGCCTCAGCCTCCCAACGTGCTGGGATTACAGGCATGAGCCACCACACCCGGCTAATTGTTTTTATATTTTTTCACTAGACACTGAGTTTCACCATGTTGGCCAGGCTGGTCTCGAACTCCTGACCTCAGGTGATCCACCCGCCTTGGCCTCCCAAAGCGCTGGGATCACAGGCCTGAGGCCCCCCGAGCACCTGCTACTTTGTAGCTGCACTCCCCGCCCTGCCATCCCCTCTCTGGCCACCAGAGAGCGCCCAGGCCCCACGAGTTCCTTCCAGAAGCCCTACCTTTGGGTGTGCCCACCGGGGTCTGCAAGAAAGGAGAGAGAGGGGTCAGGGGTGTCAGCATCCCCGGGAAGAGGAAGGGGAGCCCCGGGGTCAGGAGCCTGGGAAGGGCTGGCACAGTGGGTGAGGTCACATGTGCCCGCTTCTCATCCCATCCTCTTGGGACTCTGGCCAGAAACGCGGAGGTCATCTTTCTTTTTTCTTTTTTGTAAGACGGAGTTTTGCTCTTGTCGACCAGGCTGGAGTGCAACGGGGCAATCTCGGCTCACTGCAGCCTCCGCCTCCTGGGCTCAAGCGATTCTCGTGCCTCAGCCTCCCCAGTAGCTGGGATTACAGGCCTGCGTCATCACACGTGGCTAATTTTGTATTTTTAGTAGAGATGGGGTTTCTCCACGTTGGCCAGGCTGTTTCGATTCCCTGACCTCAGGTGATCCGCCCACCTCGGCCTCCCAAAGTGCCGGGATTACAGGCGTGAGCCACCTCTCATTTCTCATTTCTTTTCCCCTCCCCTCATGCCCCCGCATCAGCGGCTCCCGCAGGCCGCCCTGAATCCAGCTGGCTCCTCCATGCCCCTTCAGTCCGGTCTTGAACTCCTGCTCTCAAGTGATCCTCCTGCCTTGGCCTCCTGGGAGCCACTGCGTGAGGCCCAGGGTCTAGCATCTCCTGCCTGAGCCGGTTCTACCCTGCGTGGTCAGACCCTGCACACAGGCCCCTCTCCCTGAACGGTGCCCAGGCCTCCCTGGTCTTCCTGCTGTTTCTGGGACACACTCTTGACTCACGGCCGTGGTGTCTGATGTTCCCTCACTCCACTCTTCCCCATCACGTCACCGGGTGTGCCCCTCAGGAAGGCAGGGACCGTGCACGTGCACTGCTGGGCCTCCCACGCCAGCTCAATCACCCTTCAGGGAAAAAAGTGCCTGGAGAACTCCTATTCAACCTTCAAAACCCACTTCCTTGGCCAGGCGCAGTGGTTCATGCCTGTAATCCCAGCACTTTGGGAGGCTGAGGTGGGCAGATCACCTGAGGTCAGGAGTTCGAGACCAGTGTGACCAACATGGCGAAACCCCGTCTCTACTAAAAACTAAAATTAGCCAGGCGTGGTGGCGCGTGCCTGTAATCCCAGATACTTGAGAGGCTGAGGCAGGAGAATCACTTGAACCCGGGAGGCAGAGGTTGCAGTGAGCCAAGATCATGCCATTGCACTCCAGCCTGGGTAACAAGAGTGAAACTCTGTCTCAAAAAAAAAGCCACAAAGAAAATACCCCACGTCCTCCAGGATGCCCGCCCAGCCCTCCCACGAATGAGGAACTTCCTTGGGGATTCCACAGCGCCTTGGGCTTCCCACCTCTTCTGAATAATTAACACACAAACCAGGCCAGAGGCACTTCAGACGCCAGCGTCAACCCTGGCTGGTGGGCTTGACCACCCTCCCTGGGTGGTTCTTGACTCATGGCCATCTTCCCACCTGACATGAGCTCAGTGAGGTCCGGGACTGTGCCCAGAACCAGGTGTTTTTTATTTGTTTTTGAGACAGGATCTCGCTCTGTCGCCCAAGCTGGAGTGTCGTGGCGGGATCTCGGCTCACTGCAACCTCTGCCTCCAGAGTTCAAGCGATTCTCAGCCTCCTGACCAGCTGAGATCACAGGTGCCCGCCACGACATCCGGTGAATTTTTGTATTTTTAGTAGATACGGGGTTTCATCATGTTGGTCAGGTTGGTCTTGTTGAACTCCTGACCTCAAATGATGTGCCCGCCTCTGCCTCCCAAAGTGCTGGGATTACAGGCGTGAGCTGCCAAGCCCGGCCGAGGGTCTGGTTTTAACATAGTCTGGCTTAGATGGCAGATGCCAGATTCAACAGCTGAGACCACTAAGGACCACTCAGCTGTGGGGCATCGAGCCAGCCTCTCCACCTCTGTGGGCCGGGGGTTTTACTCCCATCAAACGGAGATGCTGTTCCCATGGGAACGGCTTGCTGGAGGCTCAGCCACACGAAACAATGCAGGGGTTCAACAGAAACCATGACAACCCCAGCCCGGCCAGCAGAGGGAGACCCCGTTTCTACCAAAAAGACAGAAATTAGCCGGGCGTGGTGGCGTGCACCCGTGGTCCCAGCTACTCGGGAGGCGGAGGCAGGAGAATTGCTTGAACCTGGGAGGCGGAGGTTGCGAGATCGCACCACTGCACTCCCGCCTGGGCAACGGAACGAGACTCTGTCTCAAAAACCAACAAAAACAAAAACCAAAAAACACTATGGCCAAAGCCATCAGCACCCACCAGCACCGGGTCTCCTGCCGTTCCCTGAGCCCTCCGATGCCCCCAGTGGTGGTTGCTCCCATTACTCCCCCGTCTTACAGATGGGGAAACCGAGGCCCAGCAAGGCGAAACCACGTGTCCCGGCTCACACAGCCGGGAAGTGGCTCCGGTGAGCTTGAAATCGAGGGCCTGCCTCTAGTCTGTGCCTGTCCCCTCAGCCGCCCTGACATGGAAGAGCTGGGGTCTCGCTCTGGGGCCAGCGGGAGTGGGGGCCTGGGGATCCGCCCCCCGGTCACCCCCTTACCTGCTGTGAATTCATCACCACCTCTGTCTTGCGCTCCTCCTTGGCTGGACTCGGGGCCGGGGCCCGGACCGGGCTCGGGGCCACCGCGTTCTCCTTGGCCGCGGCTGGGGCGGAGTCTCCATGCTCCAGCACCTCAATTTCCTTCTCCAACCTGGGGAGAGGGTGTGCGTGAGGGTGACTCCTGTATGCCCCGCAGGGTTCTGGGCACCTTTTGTACGACAGCTCCCAAATTTCTTCTTTTTGAGACAGATTCTCACTCTTTTGCCCAGGCTGGAGTGCAGTAGCTTGATCTTGGCTCACTGCAACCTCCACCTCCCGGGTTTAAGGGATTCTCCTGCCTCAGCCTCCCGAGTAGCTGGGATGACAGGCATGCACCACTACACCCGACTAATCTTTGTATTTTTAGTAGAAATGGGGTTTCACCATGTTGGCCAGGCTGGTCTTGAACTCCTGACCTCAGGTGATCCGCCCGCCTCGTCCTCCCAAAGTGCTGGGATTACAGGTGTGAGCCACCACGCCCGGCCCAGCTCTCCCAGGCAACCCCATGGTGTTCATGGTGGGGGAAACTGAGGCACGGAGTGCAAAAGCCTCACAGCCAGCAGGTAGCAGAGGTGGAATTCAAACCAGGGCTGGCTCCCCGTGTCCCCAGACCCCCGGACTGTGCTGTTTATGTCACTATCTGTATCAAACGAACTCTCCTTTCCCGCTCAAAGTTGTGTATTTTAACAGGAAACTTTATCTCACCGGGAAACTGGAAAAACCATGTCACTTTCCAAGTGTTAGAAGATAACGGGACAAATAGATCCAGGAAAACAAAACCGGGATATGAAATCCCAGCCCCGGGCTTTGGCAAGGGCGGGCGGCACTCACAGCAGCTCAGCCCCAGCCCCAGGACAGGGCAGATGGAGGCTGAGTCCGTAGGTCTAACAAGGTGGGCTCAGGCTGGCAGGCTGGACACAGAGCCAGACCCGCATCCCCCGCTGCACTGGAAGAGGGGTCCAGCCCACAGTCAGCCTGGAGGGCTTCCTGCAGGAGGTGTCTGGGCAGAGCCCGAGCTGGCAGAAGGTAGTGGAGACCCAGAGCAGCTCAGTTTCAGCACCTGAGAAGTGGGTTTCCCCGGGGAGGGGTGAAGCCGAGGCCTCTGAAAGCAAACTAGGCCTCAAGCCAGGTCTTCACCCTCCATCGAGGGGCCTGAGCCTGCGCCCACTAGGGCTGCGTGAAAAGAATCCCAACGTGCCCAGCCCCCATGGCCAGTAACTCCCACTGCCTTCGCCCAGGTGTCTGACCGTCCACCTCTCTGCAAACAGGGCCAGGCCCGTCTCAGCCCCACCTGTCTGAACATCCCGTTCAGCCCAGGGACACAGCTGGTGCTTAATGTTTGCTGGAATTAAGATGCACAGTGGGGCCGGTTGCGGTGGCTCACGCCTGTAATTCCAGCACTTTGGGAGGCCAAAGCGGGCAGATGACCTAAGGTCAGGAGTTCGAGACCTGCCTGACCAACATGGAGAAACTCTGTTTCTACTAAAAATGCAAAATTAGCCAGGGGTGGTGGCGGGCACCTGTAGTCCCAGCTACTTGGGAGGCTGAGGAAGGAGAATCGCTTGAATCCAGGAGGCGGAGGTTGCAGTGAGCAGTGATCACGCCACTGCACTCCAGCCTTGGTGACAGAGCAAGACTCCATCTCAAAAAAAGAAAAAAAAAAAAAAAAAAAAGACACACCGTGGGATTTTTGCCTCCCTGGTCCATAGGTAAGGAAACTGAGGCCCAGGAAGTCAGTAACACTCAGCTCATTCCAAGGCCCCAAACCCACCAGAACTGCCCCACCCTGTCCATACCTTCCATTTTTCTTTTTTCTTTTTTTTTAGATGGAGTCTCGCTCTATCTCCCAGGCTGCGAGATCTTGGCTCAAGGCAACCTCCGCCTCCCGGGTTCAAGCGATTCTCCTGCCTCAGCCTCTCGAGTAGCTGGGATTACAGGCGCCTGCCACCACGCCTAGCTAATTTTTGTATTTTTAGTAGAGACGGGGTTTCACCATGTTGGCCAGGCTGGTCTCAAATTTCTGACCTCAGATGATCCACCCACCTTGGCCTCCTAGAGTGCTGGGATTACAGGTGTGAGCCCCCACCCATGCCCAGCATGTCCACGCCTTTATTGATGTTTTATTTATTTATTTATTTATTTATTTATTTGTTTGTTTATTTACTGAGACAGAGTCTTGCTCTGTCGCCCAGGCTGGAGTGCAGTGACGTGATCTCGGCTCACTGCAAGCTCCGCCTCCCGGGTTTACGCCATTCTCCTGCCTCAGCCTCCCGAGTAGCTGGGACTACAGGCGCCCGACACCATGCCTGGAGTGTATTTTTAGTAGAGACGGGGTTTCATCGTGTTAGCCAGGATAGTCTCGATCTCCTGACCTCGTGATCCGCCCACCTCGGCTTCCCAAAGTGCTGGAATTACAGGCTTGAGCCACTGCGCCCGGCTTATTTATTTTTATTGAGACTGCTGTTGCCCAGGCTGGAGTGCAGTGGTGTAATCTCGGCTCGCTGCAACCTTTGCTTCCCGGGTTCAAGCCAGTCTCCTGCCTCAGCCTCCCGAGTAGCTGGGATTACAGGTGCCCGCCACCACGCCCGGCTAATTTTATATTTTTAATAGAGACGGGGTTTCTCCAGGCTGGTCTCAAGCTCCTGATCTCAAGTGATCCTACCTGCTCGGCTTCCCAAGTGCTGGGATTACAGGCGTGAGCCACTGTGCCCGGCCTGTCCATGCCTTTGAACGCCCTGCCAGGGAGGGAAGTCCATCCCGAACACCCCCAACATGCTTTCTTCAAAGCAAATGGGCAGAACTGGGCAGGGAGGGGCCCCCACAGGGGTCAGAACCCAGCGCCCAGGCAGGGCCTGCGAGGTCCGAGTGACCCGGCCGGCCGGCCTCCCGCCTCTGGGCCCTTCCCTGGCCAGGGCAGACTCTGGAATCCTGGTTGTCACTTCCCTCCGCCCTGACCCTGCTGCCCCGAGCAGAGCCTGGGCCTCCCGCCCGCCGGAAACTCCAGGCCTTTGGTCCCAGCCCCCACAGGGATGGCCCCTTTCCCTATCCTGTCCCCATCCTGCCCCCGCCCGGGCTTCCTGCGGGCCCAGCTGCTCTGTGTCCCTGTTCGCACCGAGGGAGAGCTCGCCCGCCAGCTGGGCTGGCGCCAGGAAGCCCCCGGGGAGGCCAGTGCCGGCAACACCCAGCCCCAGGGACCCGCCAGCTCCATCCCGTATCCCTGGCTCGAATGGGGGCGGCGGGAGGGGAAAGGGGTGACTCCCTGCCCGAGGTCACGCAGCCAGCCTCTGCCCCCAGTAAGCTGCCCCAGGCCCAGGTGGATGCCCCGGCCTGCCCCGGCCCACGTCCCCCTCAAAGCACGTTGGGTCCTGGCCTGCCCCGTTCACACATCCCCCTCAAAGCACACAGACGACTCTTCCCACACCCTCCCGGGAGCCTGTGGTCCCCGAGGCCCCTTCAAGCCGGTCGCACCCACGCTGTGGCCCTCACCTGGACACCGAGTCCTCCAGCAGCCCCCGAGGCCCCTTCAAGCTGGTCGCACCCACGCTGTGGCCCTCACCTGGACACCGAGTCCTCCAGCAGCCGTGTCTTCTGCTCATCCTCCTGCATCTGCCTCCTCAGGTCCTCGTCCCCCTCCGAGGCCGAGGACGGCGTCCCCTCCAGCAGCCAGCGCTCCCGCAGTGCCTTGGACTGGGCAGCAGGGGTCCAGGTCAGAGTCAGGGGCAGGACCAGGGTCAGGGTTGGGGTCAGGATTAAGATCGAGGTCAGGATCAGGGTCAGAATCAAGGTCGGGGTTGGGGTCAGGACCAAGGTTGGGGTCAGGGTTATGGTTGGGGTCAGGTCAGGGTCAGAGTCAGAACTGAGGTCAGGGTCAGGGTTGGGGTCAGGGTTGGCGTCGGGGTCAGGGTTAGGTTTGGGGTCAGGGTTGGCGTCGGGGTCAGGGTTGAGGTCAGGGTCAGGTTTGGGGTCGGGGTCAGGGTTGGGGTCGGGGTCAGGGTTGGGCAGGGGTCCGGGGCTGGGTCACCTCCGCCTCACTGCCACCCACGCTCCCTAACCCTGGGTCCCGGCCCCGCCCGTACCTTCAGGTGCTGCAGCTGCCTCCGCTCGTCCTCCAGCTGCCGGCGCTTGTTCTCGATCTCCGCCTGCCGCTTCCGCTTCTCCTGTGGGGAGAGCCGGGTGGGGTCGGGGCTGGGCGTGGGGGCCCTGGAGATCCCCCAACACCCGCGCAAGGCTCTGCCCAGCCCGACCCTGCTTCCTCTGTCCGTGGATCCGCGTGGCCCACTGGCTCCCAGGTGACAGCGGTTCGCACCACTGTACTCCAGCCCGGGGCCGCAGCGCGAGACCCTGTCTTGAAAAGGAATGATTGGCCGGGCGCGGCGGCTCACGCCTGTCATCCTAACACTTTGGGAGGCCGAGGCAGGAGGATCACTTGAGTTCAGGACTTTGAGACCAGCCTGGCCAACATGGAAAAACCCCATCTCTACCAAAAATACAAAAGTTAGCCGGGCGCGGTGGCGCGTGCCTGTCATCCCAGCTACTCGAGAGGCTGAGGCAAGAGAATGACTTGAAGCTGGGAAACAGGCCACATCCCGGGAGGGTTGGGCCACGGAGAGGGTCTTCAGACCCCAAGGGGGTCTTCTTGGGCTGGAGACCACCAAGACGGCACCAGAGCACATCTGTGCTCCCCCCACCAAAGCTTATCTTCCTGCAGGACGAGGGCAAGGCTCCAAGGAAGGCCAGGCTCAGTTTCCCCGCTGACCCATCAGGCAGAGGGAGGCCGGGGGTCCAGGAGCTACACACTCAGGGGGTCTCCGCTTCCATTCTCTGCAGGTTAGCAGGACTCAAGCTGCCCAAATAACTCACCATCCCCCATGCCCAGGTTCCAGGTCCTAGAACAGGTCCAGGGCCCGAGACCCCGGGTCCCCCCACCTCCCCACCCCGACCACACCGTCTGCGGGGACTCACTGCGATGGCCTGCAGCCGCTCCTGCTGGGACGTGGTCTCTGCCACCAGGACCCTGTGGGAGGGAGATAAGGTCAAGCTCTGGTTCACGGAGCTGGGCCGCCCGTCAAACGTGGTTCAAATCCCAGCTCTGCCTCTTCCCCTAGGGGTAACCAGGGCAAATGATTTCATCTCTGAACCCCAGTTTCCCCTTCTGTAAAGTGGGACCTTCCCTGTCCCCTCAGCAGCCAGGACAGGAGGGGACGAGGCTCTGCCTAGTGACCAGGAAGGGTTTGGGGAGAAGGGGACATTGAGGCAGGGCCGCCAAGGATGCACAGGCGTTCACCAGGCATCAAAGGCCAGAGAAGGGTGTTTCAGGAAGAAGGAAGTGTATTACCTCCTGGCACAGACCAGAAGACGGAGCGGGACAGTCCTCTCCGTACCCTCCTGCCCACCTAGACTCAGGAGGGGCAAACAGGGTGAAAGACCCACCAGCCCCACCTCCTAAGCCTGGGCTTGCAAAAGCCCAGAGAGGGAGATAAGCCCCCTGAGGACACACAGCAAAGAAGCCAAGGCCGGATTCAACCCCAGACTCGCTCTCATCCAATCGTTGTTGTTTGTTTTTTTGAGACGGAGTCTCGCTCTGTCGCCCAGGCTGGAGTGCAGAGGTGCGATCTCAGCTCACTGCAGCCTTCGCTTCCCAGGTTCAAGCGATTCTCCTGCCTCAGCCTCCTGGGTAGCTGGGATTACAGGCACCTGCCACCATGCCCAGCTAATTTTTGTTTTTTGTTTTTTTGAGACAGAGTCTCGCTCTGGTGCCCAGGCTGGAGAGCAGTGGCATGATCCCCACTCACTGCAAACTCTGCCGCCTCCCGGGTTCCCACCATTCTCCTGCCTCAGCCTCCCTAGAAACTGGGACTACAGGCGCCGCCACCACGACCGGCTAATTTTTTTGTATTTTTAGTAGAGACAGGGTTTCACCATGTTTGCCAGGATGGTCTTGATCTCTTGACCTCATGATCTGCCCGCCTTGGCCTCCCAAAGCGTTGGGATGACAGGCGTGAGCCACCGCGCCCGACCAGTTTTTGTTTTTTTAATAAAGACGGGGTTTCACCATGTTGGCCAGGCTGGTCTCGAACTCCTGACCTCAGGTGATCCACCTGCTTGGGCCTCCCAAAGTGTTGGGATTACAGGCGTGAGCCACCCTGCCGGGCCCAATCATTGTCTTTTGACAAGAGCCCACCGAGTGCTGCTGTAGCCTCACTTCCCAGGGCTGGTATGCAGTAGGCACTTAACAAATATCGGGGCAGCTGAGGCAGGCAGATCACTTGAGGTCAGGAGTTCAAGACCAGCCTGGCCAACATGGTAAAACCCCGTCTCTACCAAAAATACAAAAATTAGCTGGGCATGGAGGCTGAGGCACAAGAATTGCTCCCAGCTACCCAGGAGGCTGAGGTGGGAGAATTGCTTGAACCTGAGAGGTTGAGGCTGCATTGAGCCAAGATCACGCCACTGAACTCCAGCCTGGGTAACAGAGTTAGACCCTGTCACAAATCAAAACAAAACCAGAACCACAGCTGCTCACGCCTGTAGTTTTAGCACTTTGGGAGGCCAAGGTGGGAGGATTTCTCCAGCCCAGGAGTTTGAGACCAGCCTAGGCAATCTGGTAAGACCCCATCTCTACCAAAAATAAAAAAAATAAATTATCCAGGTGTGGCGGTGTGCGCCTGTAGTCCCAGCTACTCGGGAGGCTAAGGCGGGAGGATCGCTTGAGCCTGGGAGGTCCAGGGGGCAGTGAACTGTGACCCCACCACTGTACTCCAGCCTGGGCAGCAGCACGAGACTCTGTCTCAAAAAATGAATGAATGAATTGCCGGGCGCGGTGGCTCACGCTTGTAATCCCAACACTTTGGGAGGCCGAGGTGGGCCAATCACCTGAGGTCAGGAGTTCTAGATCAGCCAGGCCAACGTGGTGAAATCCCGTGTCTACTAAAAATACAAAAATTAGCCGGGCGTGGTGGCGGGTGCCTGTAATCCCAGCTATTCGGAGGCCGAGACAGGAGAATCGCTTGAACCCAGGAAGTGTTGGAGCGAGCCGAGATCGCACCACTGCACTCCAGCCTGGGAGACAGAGTGAGACTCTGCCTCAAACAAACGAACGAAATGAATGAATGAATGAATGAATGAATGAATGAATGAATACCAGTGCTGCCGGACACACCTGAAGGGACAGGGCTTCCCGCCTCAAAGATACAGGACCCTTTGCAGTGTGGGAAGGAGATCCAGGAACCGAAGCCCTCGCCACCCCCACCAGGCACCCACCACACGCTCACTCGCCCCGAAGGAAGCGAGGAATTCCGTGGTTCTCTGACCTCCCCACAGCAACCTCACCCTGCAGCTCCAAAAGCTGCGGCAGAATCCCCCTCCTCACCCCTCTGCAGGCCCACGGTCCACACCCCGAGTTCAGGGTACCCCGCCCCCCTGCTTTCTCGCTTCCCCTCCCACCTCCCAGAAGAGGAGCTTTGCCACCCAACCCCTCCCGTCCCTGGTCTGCGGGCCCTTGGAGAGCTCCTCGTAGCAGGTGCTTAGTAAAATGCAAGGAGCAGGCCGGGCGCGGTGGCTCATGCCTGTAATCCCAGCACTTCGGGAGGCTGAGGCAGGCGGATCACCTGAGGTCAGAAGTTCGAGACCAGCCTGGCCAGCATGATGAAACCCTGCCTCTACCAAAAATATAAAAATTAGCCGATCGTGATGGCAGGCACCTGTAAAATGAGCTACTCAGCCGGGCGCGGTGGCTCACGCCTGTAATCCCAGCACTTTGGGAGGCCAAGGCGGGCAGATCACGAGGTCAGGAGATCAAGACCATCCTGGCTAACACGGTGAAACCCCGTCTCTACTAAAAAATACAAAAAATTAGCCGGGCGAGGTGGCGGGCGCCTATAGTCCCAGCTACTGGGGAGGCTGAGGCAGGAGAATGGCGGGAACCCGGGAGGCGGAGCTTGCAGTGAGCTGAGATCCGGCCACAGCACTCCAGCCTGGGCGACAGAGCGAGACTCCGAGACTCCGTCTCAAAAAACAAACAAACAAACAAACAAACAAAAGAACAGCTACTTGAGCTAAGGCAGGAGAATTGATTGAACCCAGGAGGCAGCTGCAGTGAGCAGAGATCACGCCACTGCCCTCCAGCCAGGGCAACAAAACGAGACTCCATCAAAGGAAAACAAAAACAACAAAAACGCAAGCAGCACCGAAGCCCTAGACTGGGGCTGGGCTCAGCCTTGACTGCCAATGACCCTCAGGCTTCCAGAGCTGGTGCAGTGAGGCAGGGAGAGGACGGCAGGGGTTGGCGGTGGGTGTCCCAGACTCAAGTAGGGGATTTCTGGAGAATTGGCCCCATGTCCCGAACAATGCCAGGGCTCTGGGCAGCATCCACAGGGGGAGGCCGGGGCTGACAGGCAGGGCCTGGCAGGAACCAGGGCTGCGGGGGTGGGAGACAGGTTACCCCAGTCCCCCGTCTTATCTTCCCAGAGACTGAAATTACAGCCCGCCCTTCATGCCCGCCGCCACCCACAGCCCTCTCAGCCTGGTGTCAGGGCCCAGAGAAGAGCCTCCGAAGAGCCCCCATGCCTCTCTGGGCCTCAGTTTCCCCATCCGCACAAACACGGAGGCACAGATACCTGCAGCTCCAAGGCCTCCTATGACGTCCCCCTTGTGCTGCCGTCCCCTCCCCCTGTTCAGCAGAGAAAATGAAACTGCACAGTGCACTGGCTCACCACCCAGCCCCGGCCCTGGAGGCTGCTCTGGGTCAAGACCTCCCTGGAGCCCGAGGCACCCCGCCTGCCTACCCCACTCGGGTTCGGTTTCCTGGCCCTGCTGAGGCCTGTGAAGTTGTCCAGCTCCCATGCCCCAGAGGTGACCCCACCGGCTCCTCCCTTCCTGGCAGGTGACACCTACCCTTCCCAGTGCCTCCCAGGGGCCCAGGAGCACGAGCTGCGCTCTCTGGCTTCCCCTTCTCCCTCCTCAGGGAGGCTGGGTTCAGCTGCGTCCACCGGGTGGGGTTCAGGAAAGGCTTGATCGAGCTTTCTGGCTTGGGGTCCTTCCTGAATGGCCAGATCAGCTGGAGTTCTGAGTCAGTCCCACATCAATGGGTGAAGCAGGCAGTGAACCATCCACTGTGCATTCGCCTGAGGCCCGGGCCCTTGCTTCCTGCCCACCCCACATTCCCCACCCAAGCCCAGGCATCTAGTGTTCCCTGACAACTCCCTGCTCTCTCACAGCTCCCTCTCCACCTGCCAGCCAGAGGCAGCTTCTCAAAAAGAGAATCAGACCCTAGGCCAGGTGTGGTGGCTCAAGCCTGTAATACCAGCACTTTGGGAGGCCAAGGCCAGTGGATTGCTTGAGCCCAGGAGTTCGAGACCTGCCTGGACAACATAGCAAGATCCTGTCTCCACATAAATAAATAAATGCATGCCAGGAGTGGTGGTGTGTCCCTGTGGTCCCAGCTACTTGGGAGGCTGAGGTGGGAGGGTCACTTGAGCCCAGGAGGTTGAGGCTGGGTTCAGCTGTGATTGTGCCACTGTCTCTGGCCTGGGTGATAGAGCAAGACCTTGCCTCAAAAATAAAAATTTAACGCCGGGCGCGGTGACTCATGCCTGTAATCCCAGCACTTTGGGAGGCTGAGGCGGGTGGATCTCGAGGTCAGGAGATCAAGACCATCCTGGCTAACATGGTGAAACCCCATCTCTACTAAAAATACAAAAAATTAGCCAGGTGTGGTGGCGGGCGCCTGTAGTCCCAGCTACTCGGGAGGCTGAGGCAGGAGAATGGCGTGAACTCAGGAGGCGGAACTTGCAATGAGCTGGGATCGTGCCATTGCACTCCAGCCTGGGTGACAGAGCAAGATTCCGTCTCAAAAAATAAATAAATAAATAAAATAAAAATAAATAAATATTTTAAAAAATGGGCCAGGCACAGTGGCTTACACCTAGAATCGAGCACTTTGGGAGGTCAAGGTGGGTGGATCACCTGAGGTTGGGAGTTCGAGACCAGCCTGACCAACATGGAGAAACCCTGTCTCTACTAAAAATACAAAATTAGCCGGGTGTGGTGGTGGGCACCTGTAATCCCAGCTACTCAGGAGGCCAAGGCAGGAGAATCGCTTGAACCCGGGAGGCGGAGGTTGCGGTGAGCCAAGATCACTCCATTGCACTCTAGCCTGGGCAACACAACAGAAACTCCGTCTCAAAAAACAAAACAAAAAAATTTTTTTAAATTTTTGAAAAGAAGGCCAAGTACGGTGGCTCATGCCTGTAATCCTAGCACTTCGGGAGGCCAAGGTGGGTGGGTCACTTGAGGTCAAGAGTTCGAGACCAGCCTGGCCAACATGGCAAAACTCTATCTCTACTAAAAATACAAAAATTAGCTGGGGGTGGGGGCGCGTGCTCGTAATCTCAGCTACTTGGGAGGCTGAGGCAGGAGAATTCCTTGAACCCAGGAGGCGGACGTTGTAGTCAGCCCAGATAGTGCCACTGCACTCCAGCCTGTTCATCAGAGTGAAACCCTATCTTAAAATAACCATAAATCAGACCCTGTCCTTCTCCTGCTCTAGACGCTCCTTGGCTCCCACCAGCCCTTGAAGGAACCCCCAGGTCGGCCCCTTCACTTCCCCCTTGGTCGGTCTGTTCCTGCAGGGTCTCCCTGGCTGTGCACAAGCCCCTCTACCCCAGGGCCTCTCGCACACGGTTCCCCCTGCCCGGCACCCTCTTCCCATGGCTGTAAGCCGCGTCCAGGGAGGGCACAGGCACAGACGGGAACAACCGACCAACCCCGGGCCACCCGACAGTCCTGGTTTCCAGCTGTAAGCGGGCTCGGGGCCAACCCGGAGGGAGCAGAGCTGGGGCAGGAGGTCTGCAAAACGGCGGGACCCCTGGGTCCCAGGATCAGGCTGGACGCCGCCCGCCCAGGGCCCGTCCCCATCCGTCCCCATCCGGCAGGCAGGTGGCCGCTCGGACCAGACCCGGGGACAGAGTGTGGCTGTGTGGCCGCCTCCCAGGCTGGAGACAAGGCGGTAGTGTCTGTCCTCGGGCAGCTTGTCCCTGCCGGGCCGGCCAGGGCGGGGAATGTCAGGCGGGCGGGCAGGGGACGCGCGGGAAGCAGCCTCAGGGCGCAGGCCCCTCCCCAGGAGAAACAGGATGCGCCCCCCTCGCCCCTCCCCAGTCACAGGCGCTCCCCTCGCCCCTCCCCAGGCCCAGACACCTCCCTCGTTCCTCCCCCTTCCCCAGGCCGGGCGCCCCCTCGCCCCTCCCTAGGCCCGGGCGCCCCCTCACCCCTTCCCAGAACACGCAGGATCGTCCCCTTTACCCCCAGGCCCCTGCGCCCCCTCACCCTTCCCAGAACACGCAGGATGCGCCCCTCTCGCCCCTCCCCAGGCCCGGGCGCACCCCTCACCCCTTCCCAGAACCACACGCAGGATCATCCCCCTGGCCCCTCCCCAGGCGGGCACCTCACTCGCTCCTCCCCCCTCCCCAGGCCGGGCGCCCCCTCGCCCCTCCCAGGCCCAGACACCTCCCTCGTTCCTCCCCCTTCCCCAGGCCCGGGCGCCCCTAGCCCCTTCCCAGTCACAGGCTCCCCTCGCCCCTCCCAGGCCCAGACACCTCCCTCGTTCCTCCCCCTTCCCGGGGCCGGCGCCCCCCCTCGCCCCTCCCAGGCCAGGCGCCCCCCTCACCCTTCCTGAACCACGCCCAGGATCGCCCCTGCCCCCAGGCCCGTGCGCCCCCTCACCCCTTCCCAGAACAGGATCGCCCACTCTCGCCCCTCCCCAGGCCGGGCGCCTTTCCTCGCCCCTTCCCAGAACACGCAGGATCGCCCCTCGCCCCTCCCCAAGCCAAAATGCCAGCCCGGGTGATGGATCGCGAGTCGCGAGGCGGTCGCCGTAGCAACATGACCTTGATCCCATGCGCCGAGGCCAGCTGCGCGGGAGTGGGGCCGCGCAGCATCTCCGCCCACGCCCCTTGGGGGACAGGGAAGCCAGGCCGAGGGCCTGGGTGACCTAGAGAGGCGGGAGGGGTGGGCATTCCCGCTGCGGCTGGGAGGAGGTCCCGTCTGGGCGTCCGGGCGCCCGCGGAAGGAGCTTCCATCCGGGAGGGTGTGGACACTTGACCGCCGGGTAGCCAAGGTCAGGCTGGCAGAGCGCTCCCGTCACAGATCCGAAAAATGAGCGAAATAGGACCAGCTCACCCGGATCAAAGCGGCCACAAACCCACGCAGGATGCGCCCCTCTCGCCCCTCCCCAGGCCCGGGCGCACCCTTCGCCCCTTCCCAGAACACGCAGGATGCGCCCCCCTCGCCCCTCCCCAAGCCCGGGCGCCGCCGCCCCGGGTGATGGATGGCGGGGCCCGCGGGAGGCGGTCGCCGTGGCAACCGCGCGGTCCCCATGGCAACGCCGAGGCCCGGCGCGCGGGGGTGGGGCCGGCGCAGCATCTCCCGCCCCCGCCCCTTGGGGGGGTTGGGGGGGCCCGAGGCTTCGGGCCTGGGGCGGCCTAGAGGGGCGGGAGGGGTCGGGCATTCCCCCCCCGCGCTGCGGCTGGGGGAGGGGAGAGGGGTCCCGTCTGGGCGTCCGGGGGGCGCCCGCCCAGGAAGGGGCTTCCATCCGGGAGGGGTGTGGACCCGCCCCCGACGCCGGGTAGCCAAGGTCAGGCCGACAGAACGCTCCACGTCACAGATCCGAAAAACCAAGCGAAATAGGACCACGACTCACGGATCAAAACGGCCACAAACCGAGAACGCCTCCCCCGGCGCTCACTCCCTCCTGCGGCCCAGTTCGCAGATGGGGAAACTGAGGAAACGGCCACAAACCGAGAACGCCTCCCCCGGCGCTCACTCCCTCCTGCGGCCGGGTCCGCCCCATTTCACCGACGGGGAAACTGAGGCCGAGCAGGGCGGTCTGCAGATGGCCTTCGCCAGGCGTTCATCCTCCTGCGGGCGGGGCCCGCCAGGCGCGGGGGAGTCTCGTTCCCGTTTGATCAGCGAGGCCGGGACCAGGACCCCGGAGCAGGGGCTTCCCGGGGTCGGCGGGACGGCGGAGGCTCAGGCTCCCCTGGGCTCACGGAGGGAAGCAGAGGTCAGATCACAAAAGGTCTTACATGCTGGGCGGAGGAGCTGAGTCCGGGGCAAAGGCGTGGAAAGGCTCGGGGCGGCGGCGGTCCTGGTGCTGCCGGGGGTCCCGGGGCAGGTGCTGGGTCTCGGAGCTTCCCTGGCTCCCGGCAGCCGCGAAGAGCCCCTGGAGCGCCACACCCCCCGCCCGACGCCCACCCCGGCGCGCACAGGCCTCCCGTCCCCGCGATGCTTTTTACGGCGCGTGGCGGTGTGGGCGGCTCGGGGCCCGGCGAGGGCGTCGTCTGGAGCGCGTGAGATAATCCGGCTCCAGGAGATGAGCTACTGAGGCCCAAACCCCACGAGAGAGCCCCGCAGAGGCCTCCGCGATGCGGGGCGTTGGTGCTGGAAGGGTCCAGAGAGGTTACGCAACGGCCAAGGTCACCCAGCGAGCAGGGCGGGCCCCGTCTGGGGCGGGAGGGGCGTGTGTGGGATGGGGGCGTCGCACTTGTCCTTCCAGAACCCACGCCCGGGCAGCTCCAGCCAGAACGAGGGGGTCCCTGCCCGGGCAGGCGCCGAGCCCAGCGCCGGGAACATTCCTGCTGCTAATTGAAAGGAAAGAGCTGACGGTGACCTTGGCCATGGTGGGGGGTGGGGGAGTCACGCGGGGCTGCGAGGTGTGGGGTGAAGGGGGAGCAGGGCGGCCCCTTCCCCCACTGGGCAGGGGATGGAGTTCGGGGAGTCTGGACCCCAGCTGCTTCCCGGTCCAGGTGATACTCGGTCCTCAGAGCCTGTGTCTGCCCTGAGCGCTGGCGCCCCCGGCCCTGCTTCCTCCACCGCCCTGCCCTGCTCCAAGCCCTAGTGTCAGCCCCTCGCTCTTCATCAGCTCCCAGCTTCCCCTTTCCCTTCTCCACTGCCAAGATCAGATCCAGCACAGCCACCTCCTCCAGGCAGCCTTCCAGGAAGGAACCTCCTCCCAGCCCTCCCAGGACACAGCACGGAGACCAGCCCTGTCTCTGGGGCACCAAGAACCCTAAATGGGTCAAGGCAGAGACGCATCACCCCGTGGGGAGAGGAGAAGACGGAGGTCAAAGCAGGCCACAGATGCACAGAGGCAGACCTGTTGCCTATTAACCTGGGGTAGGAAGGGAGAAAAGCTGGACCCTGCCCAGGCCCTCACAGGAAGATGGGGCAGTGAGGCGTGAACCGGGCCTTCCCTGGCTTTCGGCAGGGTCTCAGGGCAAACCCTGCTGCAGGGACCCCATGGTCCCTCCCCATCCGACAGCACTGCAGCCACACTGCTGAGACACCCCACAGAGCTCCCGCCGCAGGGCCACGGCGCTGGCTGCACCCCGGCCTGGTGCACAGTCACCCAGACCTCCACAGGCCTCACGCCCAAGGCCTTTCTGCAGACGTCACCTCCTCATTTAGGCCTCTTCCGGCCTAATTTTCAGCCCCAAGCACCCCCCTGCAGCCATCTCCACCCGGATCACTTTACTTATCTTTTTCTTTTTTTTGAGATGGACTCTCCCTCTGTCGCCCAGGCTGGAGTGAGGTGGCACGATCTCGGCCCACTGCAACCTCCGCCTCCCGGGTTCAAGTGATTCTCCTGCCTCAGCCTCCTGAGCAGCTGGGATTACAGGAGCCCACCACCACGCCCAGCTAATTTTTGTATTTTTAGTAGAGACAGGGTTTCATCATGTTGGCAGGGCTGGTCTTGAACTCTTGACCTCAGGTGATCCACCTGCCTCGGCCTCCCAAAGCGCTGGGATTACAGGTGTGATCTTGTCTTCCCACCAGGACAGCAACTGTGCCATTTTTGTCCCTGCCGCATCCCTGGGACCAGGCATACAGTAGGTGCTCAGTAAATGCTCGCTGCCCCAGGGAGTCAATGAGGGTCTTTCCATCTTCAGAGGAAGCCCCCAGCCCCCCCTCTTCTCACGCTCCCGCCACTCCCAGGGCCACCTGTCATCTGATCACTTCCTCTTCTTTTTAAAGGAACTCACTGTCACGACTTACATTTCTGTAAAGCAGGACCCGGACTCCTCAGTGTGAACGGAGCAGAAGCTCCAACCACCTTGCGGGGGGGAACCACAGATTCACAGATAAACCAACCCGGGTGTCCATCCACAGATGCTTTGGTAAACGCAACGTGGCTGTCCACACACTGAAACACGACTCAGCCGTGAACAGGAGCGAGGCTCTGGCCCAGGCCACGACGCAGATGCACCTTGAGGACGTCACGCTCAGTGAGAGACGCCAGACACACAAGGCCGCGCAGTGTGTGATCCCTTGTCTATGAAATGTCCAGGACCTGCTGATCCAGAGACAGGAAGGGGATTGGCTCCCCGGGGGCCGGGGAAGGGGATGGGAGGGGACACCTAATGGGAACAGGGTTTGTTTTGGGGGTGATGAAAGCGTTCTAAAATTGCGGTGAAAGATACACAACCCTGCTGGGCGTGGTGGCTCACACTGGAATCCCAGCACTTTGGGAGGCCAAGGCAGGTGGATCACAAGGTCAAGAGATCGAGACCATCCTGGTCAATATGGTGAAACCCCGTCTCTACTAAAAATACAAAAATTAGCCGAGCGTGGTGGCATGTGCACCTGTAATTTCAGCTACCCAGGAGGCTGAGGCAGGAGAATGGCTTGAACCCGGGAGGTGGAGGTTGCAGTGAGCCAGGATGACACCACTGCACTCCAGCCTGGGTGACAGAGAGAGACTCCATCTCAAAAAAAAAAGAAAGAAAGATATACAACCATCAGCATACTAAAAACGACTGAGCTGTACACTTTAAACAGCCAGACTGTGTGGCATGTGAATTATATTTTAATAAAGCTGTTAAGAATTATATACATAGAGACGTGTGTATACATATCTGTGTGCATGTGTAATGGGAATGCCAGCCTTCTCAACAAGGGCCAGGCCAGGGCAGGGGCTGAGGTCCTTCTCAATCCCCATGGGGCGTTGAAGCCCCTGCTGGTCCTGCCCTGAGACTTTCCATGGTTGGAAGCGTTTGAATACAAACCGATGAGGACATCAGCTTCTTGCTCCCTGATGGGGTTCCTGAAGCGCCCCAGGCCTCTGTCCCGCCCTGGCCTTCAGGGTCCCACATCACTGCCTCCATTGCCCACAGCCTTTGCCCACCCAGGCGGGGCTCCCAGGCCTGTCCCTGTCCCACCACCAGTGTTGACCATGCAGTGCCTCCCGCTCAGCGGGTCTCACTTTGGTCCTAATCTAAGTCTTTTTTTTTTTTTTTTTTTTTGAGAGAGAGAGTCTCGCTCTGTCACCCAGGCTGGAGTGTAGTGGCACAATCTTGGCTCACTGCAACCTCCGCCTCCTGGGTTCGAGCGATTCCCCTGCCTCTTTCTCCCAAGTAGCTGGGACTACAGGCGCCCACCACCACGCCTGGCTAATTTTTGTTATTTTTAGTAGAGACAGGGTTTCACCATGTTGGCCAGGCTGGTCTCCAACACCTGACCTCAAGTGATCCACCTGCCTCAGCCTCCCAAAGTGCTGGGATTACAGGTGTGAACCACCGCGACTGGCCCTAATCTAAGTCTTGCTCACCCCAAGGCCTAGCTCCTCTGGCTGGCTCCCCTTTCCTCTCCCCACCCAGTCCAGGCTCTGTCCCAGCTCTGACTGTCCCTGAATTCCTGTTTAAAACCCTGGGGCAGGAGACAGCCACTCTGGCCTGATTTTACACTCCTCAGACACCAAGACGTCCACTCAGCCATCCTCCCAGAGGGCCCCCTCCATCCCCTCATGTATCCAGGGTCCAGGCCACCTCTCCCTGGCCAGGGTGCCCTGTCCCTGTGGGCATCGCTGACCACACACAGTTCTGGAATCCTGTGTTTGCCCTCCTAGACATAGGGTCCTGCTCCCTCTGCCTCTGCCATTTCTCTCCATGCGGCCCCAGTGGCCACAATCAAGGCTTGGCCATGACTTGCTCCTCCCTGGTCTCACCCCTCAGCTGCCAGAGTCTTTTTTTAATGACCAGGTCAGCCATTGCTCCTCCCCTGCCCACACACTATCCATGACTCCCCCTCCTGGCACTCAAGGCCCAGCAAGAACAAACACCAAAGAGTATTCTCTTCTTCCAACGCTTTCCCACCTCGTCCCTCCACAAGGTGCATCCTTCTGCCTGCCTGGATGAACCCTGAAACATCCTTCTCAGAAAAGGTTCACGGACTGGATCAGGAAGCCCTTCTCACACTTCAGGAAGACCCTCTATGGCCTTCCAGACCCTTCTGATCCTGCACAGCACGAGGATGGTGAGGAGGGAGCAGTTGTTCGATAAACAAATGCCAGGTTTCCTAAATCAAGAAAGGATGAGAAGAAACAGGGGCCCACACTCAGAAAAAGGTGATACAATTTTTTTTTTTTTGAGACAGTCTCGCTCTGTCGCCCAGGCTGGAGTGCAACGGTGCAATCTTGGCTCACCAAAATCTCTGCCTCCCGGGTTCAAGCAATTCTCCTGCCTCAGCCTCCCGAGTAGCTGGGACTACAGGCGCCCGCCACCACACCCGGCTAATGTTTTGTATTTTTAGTAGAGACGGGATTTCACCGTGTTAGCCAGGATGGTCTCGATCTCCTGACCTTGTGATCCTCCCGCCTTGGCCTCCCAAAGTTCTGGCATTACAGGCATGAGCTACCGCGCCCAGCCGAGATGAAGCTTTTAAAGAACATCAGGTTGGGTGCAGTGGCTCACACGTGTATAATCCCAGCACTTTGGGAGGCTGAGGTGGGAGGACTGCTTAAGCCCAGGAGTTTGAGACCACCCTGGGCAACGCAGGGAGACCCTGTCTCTACAAAAACAAAACAAAATAATTAGCTGGGTGTGGTGGTGGCACCTGTCGTCCCAGCTACTCAAGATGCTGGGTGCAGGATCACGTGAGCCCGGGATGTTGAGGCTGCAGTGAGCTATGATCACACCTCTGCACTCCAGCCTGGGGGAAACAGGGAGACTCAGTCTAATAAAAAGAAGGCCAGGCACGGTGGCTCATGTCTGTAATCCCAGCAGCTTGGGAGGCTGAGGCAGGAGGATCACAAGGTCAGGAGATGAAGACCATCCTGGCTAACACGGTGAAATCCTGTCTCTACTAAAAACACACAAAAAAAATTAGCCGGGCGAGGTGGCAGGCGCCTGTATTCCCAGCTACTCGGGAGGCTAAGGCAGGAGAATGGCGTGAACCTTGGAGGCAGAGCTTGCAGTGAGCCAAGATCACGCCACCGTACTCCAGCCTGGGCGACAGAGCGAGACTCCATCTCAAAAAAAAAAAAAAGAAGGCCAGGTGCGGTGGCTCACGCATTTAATCCCAGCACTTTGGGAGGCTGAGGAGGGCATATCACGAGGTGAGGAGATTGAGACCATCCTGGCTAACACAGTGAAACCCCATCTCTACTAAAAATACAAGAGTTAGCTGGGCGTGGTGGTGTGCGCCTGTAGTCTCAGCTACTCAGGAGGCTAAGGCAGGAGAATCACTTGAACCAGGGAGGCAGACATTGCAGTGAGCTGAGATCGCGCCACTGTACTCCAGCCTAGGCGACAGAGCGAGACGCCATCTCAAAAATGAAAGAAAGAGAGAGAGAGACAAAGAAAGGAAGGAAGGAAAGGAAGGAAGGAAAGGAAGGAAAGGAAGGAAAGGAAGGAAGGAAGGAAGGAAGCAAGGAAGGAAGGAAGGGAGGGCATGGCGGCTCATGCCTGTAATCCCAGCACTTTGTGAGGCCGAGGCAGACAGATCACTTGAGGCCAGGAGTTCGAGGCCAGCCCGGCCAACATGGTGAAATCCTGTCTTCTACTAAGAAACATACAAAAAATTAGCCAGGCGTGGTGGCGCGTGCCTGGAGTCCCAGCCGCTTGAGAGGCTGAGGCATGAGAATCGTGTGAACCCAGGAGGCAGAGGTTGTAATGAGCCGAGATAGCACCACTGTGCTCCAGCCTGGGTGACAGCGAGACTCCGTCTCAAACAAACAAACAAACAAAAAGAACATAAGCCCATTTCCAAGCTTCAAAATCCGAGGCCCTTGAGAACAAATCTGGCTAAGGGGGTAGAGGCAGAGATGCCCCCACTGCGTGGTGCTCAGAGGGTACAGGCCCATAAAACACCTGCCACTCCTCTAACCCTGCCTCCCCCAAGAATGGCAGTCACGTCCCCATTCGCCAGATGAGAATAGTGAGGCCCAGAGGAGACTGACATGCCAGGGCGCGACGGGGAGTCGGGACACCCCCTCTCCACACTCCTCTCCCAAATCACAGAACAGCGTGGGTGGGCTCAGAAGCAGGGCAGGTGCCCCAGGAGCCAAGACCACTGACAAGGCCAACTTCTGTGTTTCTCAGTAAACACACCACGATCGAAAGCCGACACCAGGATGTCTGATATCCAGAACCACGCCCCACAAGACCACAACCCCCAGACACAGGTACCAAAAACCCTCCCCCATCCCCAACCTCGGCGGCTTAGAGGGAGCATGCTCGGACCACCCAGCAGCGAACTCCCATCCACGCCTCTGCAGCTGTGTATCCTTACACGTGCCACTGG